GCTTCTCACGTTCTCGAGTAATTAACTTACCCGGAAGGAACCTTTCACGGGCCTGTACGTAGGTACAACGCTTACCCGCGGGCAGGGTTTAAACTCGTTAATACCCACTTAGACAGGGAACACCCCCCTAAGTTTCCAGCTGTCTAGCTTCTCAGAACCTCGAGTTATTAATTTACGCGGGAAAGATTTTGGGGGGCCTGTGCGCGAATACCATGCTTACCCGGGGGCTGGATTTGAGCTCATTAGCACCTGCTTGGACGGGGAACATTCTCCTAAAATTTCAGCTTTCTAGCATCCCAGAACCCCGGATTATGAATTTGCACGGGAAGATTTTGGGGTGCCCGTACGCAGGTACCACGCTTACCCGGGGGCCGGACTTTAGCCCACTAATACCCGCTTGGGCGGGGAACATTACCCCATGATTTCAGTCTTCTAGCTTCTCAGATCCTGGAGTTGTGAACCGACCCCAAAAAAACTTTGGCGGGCTCGTGCGCGGGTGCCACGCGGGTTTCGGCACCAATTTTGTGGATGTGAGCCGTACGTGCATGTAGATTATTTCCGCAAAGTTTCAGCCCCATAGCTTTTGCCGGTCTCGAGATGAAAAATCGGTACAGAGGCCCAGCTTTTGCCGGTCTCGAGATGAAAAATCGGTACGGAGGCCCAGCGCACACACAGACACACACACAAAACAGCCCTGTAGCTTTTGTGGGTCTCGAGATGAAAAATCGGTAGAGACGCGCAGCGCACACACAGACACACACACAAACAGAGATGAAAAATCGGTACAGACGCGCTGCGCACACACAGACACACACACAAACACACACACATACAGCACGCACACACACACACACAGACAACCTCTCGTCAATATGCGTTTTCTGCATTGCATAGCTGCAAAAAACGCGGCTGTTACACAGCACAAAACGCATAAAAATCGGTACAGACGCGCAGCGCACACACACACGCACAAGTCCCCAAAGTTTCAGCTCCGTAGCTTTTGCCGGTCTCGAGATGAAAAACCGATACAGAGGCCCAGCGCACACACAGACACATCGCAGCTTTTATAGGTCCGGAGATGAAAGTGCGTGACAGACGCACACACAGGCACACAGACACACGAACACACAGACAACCTCTCGTCAATATGCGTTTTTCGCATTGCATTGCTGCAAAAAACGCATAAAAATCACACAGACAACCTCTCGTCAATATGCGTTTTTCGCATTGCATTGCTGCAAAAAACGCATAAAAACTGCATCTGTGAAGTTCTGACTATTCAAGATTAAAAATTTTGAGGGAAAGATGATGGATATACGAGCATTTAATTCAAGATGACAAACAGGGAGAGGAAAACACGCACTCAATCGACAAGTATAGTTAGTGCCGCTTTCTGGTCCGTTTGTTGCTGCTGCTGTTGCTGCTTCCCGGTCAGTACAGGCGGCACTATTGACTGTATCGGCTTGATCGCGGGTGGATATGGATAAGTGTAGGAGATACCAGAAATATCGAAATCGTTTGTTTCATGTAAACCAATGAATAATTTGAAAAGAAAGGCACCCAGTGGCGCGCCAACCATTGGCGCCGCAATCGGAATCCAGAAATAATATGAATGGTTGCTGAAATTTTTCTCTTGCAGTTTCAACAACATAGATAGCGGGATTCCCCAATCCGCAGGTGGTGTTATTCCGTGTTGGCGAGGTTACTGGGATGATTCGGCACTGTGAGCAACTAGATTTCGAAGTTTTTTTTAAAGCTAACTTGGAATTTTTTTTTTTTTTGAAAAATGAATGCTTGATCTTTTTATTTTTGAGTTTTCTATCTAATTTTGCTGCATTAATAGAAATAAAATGGTTAATTAGAAACTCAACGATTTTGAAGTGGGTACTGGAATTAAGGCCATGGCCTACTTCTTAATATGTCTTCGTAGCGCATAATATTTAGATCGATCCTTTGTCTCCGATCTTAATATTTCATGGTTCAGAGTCAGATACTGAAAACTTATCCATAATTGGCACCGAATTCTGCTGTAACTCACCCTCATTACAAGCTTTTCCTGTTTCGCTATCTTTACAGTAAGGGTAGATGTAATAAAAAAGATTGTTGGGAAAACATACGAGAAGGCTCTCCATCCCTGAATAAGCAGCATAAAAAGTCGAGGACCGAAGTCGCGAGCCGGATTGATTGCATAACCACAGTTGGCTCCGAAACACATTGAAATCATCATC